AAGAAGTTCAAACAGCCAGTTTTTATTATTTTCTTTACAATTTGTTGGGGTCGGGCTGGTGAGATGGCTCAGTGGTCTAAAAACAAGCTTAGTAAAGTACATGGACCGCGGTTCAATCTCCTGGCACCACATGCCAGCCAGCCCCGCCCCCAGGCGGGCTGAGCTGGCCACACACACACACACACACACACGCACGCACGCACACGCGCACACAAATAAATAAAATAATTTTTTAAAAAATGAAAAGAATCATTTAAAAAAAAAAAATTTGTTGGGGTTTTTTTGAAGCAGGGTCTTGCTGTGCAGTTGAAAATGACTTCGAACTTACCATGTAGCCTAGGCTGGCCTCAAGTTCTTGGCAATTCTCCTGTCTCAGCTTCCTGAGTACTGGAATCACAGGTGTGCACCACCATCCTAGCTGGGTTTTTGTGCATTTGTTTGTTTGTTTGTTTTTGAGTCAGGATCTCACTATGTAGTTTAGGGTGGTTTTGAACTCACTGTGTAACCCATGCTGGCCTCAAATTTGCATCAGTCTTTGTGCTTTAGTCTCCTGACTACTCAAATACAGCTATGCACCATCACTCCAAACTCTCTTTTCAACTGAATGGTGTGGTGGAAGCTGAAGAAATCTAGATCTTGTTCCACTGAGTGTGTGGTTGTAGAGGCTGTGGCCCTCCTGAGCTGTGGGGTGCTATTTCCCATTGCAAGTGCAAGTCTTTCAATGCTGTGCTTTGAGCATTGAAGGTGGTAAAGAGTGTCAAACTCCAGCCTTAGGCCTCATGAGCCATGCAGCTTATGTCCAGCCTAACTAGGACTTCTCTGGTGACCACACTCATCTTGTGTTTGACCTTAGGTGCAGAAAAGCCCTGTATTCCGGAGGGACGGCGCAGACATCCACTCCGACCTCTTTATTTCAATAGCTCAGGCTCTTCTTGGGGGGACAGCCAGAGCTCAAGGCCTATACGAGACAATCAATGTGACGGTAAGAGGGCATGGAACATATTTGCCACTGTGGTACGTTGCTCTTTTCTCTGAAATGGGTAATGGCTGATATTGCGTGAAACTGTTGGCATCTAGCATGCCAGGAATTCCAGGAGGAGAAGAGGCTTTGGGCCAGGCACTGGGTGCTTCATGCACAGCTCAGGACTTGTGTGATCACTATGGAGAGTTATTCTTCTTTGCCACTCCTCCTCCACAGGTCAGCAGACCTAGAGACTGGGTGCATGCATGACAGGCTGCAACATTGTAATAGGTACTCTTGTAGT